TGAGTTAATTGCCTGAGTTAACGGTGACTAATCGACAGCCCTAATAAAAAACAATGATCAGGTCTGATAGAAGCTCTTCTGGCAGATCTGTTGATTCCATGAGAGAAACAATGGGGCAACTATTAAACTACTGAACCTGTTACATCTGCTCTCTCTAGGGGAGTGAAGAGGATCCCTGTGTCTGAAAAGATCTTGAACCTGCCACTCCATCATGCCAGGTGTTGTGAGAAGTGGAGTGATGAAGCAACTGGAGGGAGTAAGAGAAGAGTGTTGGGGGCAAAGTAAGGATCATCTGATGGGGAGAGTAGGTGAGGGAGAGGAAGACAGAGGGAAGCTATGGAAGGAACAGATTGGGCGTACAGGGACAGAAAGGCAATAGTGACAGGGAAGAGAGATGGGCAGAGAAAATGAAGAGGAGGAGGATGCATGGGTGGTGCGTGAAACGTTTGTTGGGGGAGACTTGCCCCAGCCCCATCCCTTCCGTGCCCCCACCCCCGCCGGAGCTCAGAGCCCCCCACCGTGGCTGCTGTCCCCCGCCCCGGGCTAGAGCCCCCAGCACCAGGAGGGCAGGAGGCGTGGCTCCATCCCCAGAGCGCTGAGAAGGCGGGTGGTGCAACCAGAGCGCCAGGAAGGTGGATGGCATGACCCCAGCCCCGGAGTGCCAGGCAGGCGGCGCGGCCCCAGAGTGTTGGTAGGGTAGGCGGCATGGCCACAGCCTCCAGAGCACCAGGAGGGCAGGCGGCGTGGCCGCAGCCTCCCCAGCCCCAGAGAACCTAGCTGGGGCCACAACACAGGGACAGGGGAGCTCGCATGAGGGGGCCTGGGGACAGAGAGTGGGTGGGGGCCACACCTGGCCCCCACCTATGATACCCGGTGCCCATGGGAGGAGGGGGGGGAAGGTGAGAAAAAGAAAACAAAAGTTAAAAAGAGTAAATGGTAGGAAGGTTAGAGAGGTGGAAAGGAAAGAGTAGAATGAGGAAATGGAAGGACAGGAAAAAAACCACAAACCCTCTTACGATTAGAAAGATTTGCTTTATTTACGTACGGTATTCCATTTGCACAATAATGTACAGTGGCTGAAAGGAGGAGAGTTCAGTGGGATGGGAATAATTTTTAGATTAAATATAGCCAGAGGGCTGCAGGGGCAGAGTTTTGAGGCTGACTGGGGGCCAGACCAGGATTCCCACCAACCAAATCCAAGTTCTGGGAACTGTGGATCTGATCTCAAGATTAAATAAACTCCAAGACTCCTGAATCCATCAGAGGCTTCAGTGAGACCAAGACAGAATCAACAAGGGCCTATGTACCTTAATCTGCCATAGCCATTCTTCTGGATACTCTCATCAGATCAAGCACAGCTAAGCAGGGTCAGGCCTGCTCTGTGCTTAAATTGGGACCTTCAAGGGACCAAATTTTCTTGTATTGCAAAGATTACAAATTTCAGAGGAACAGCCGTGTTAGTCTGTATTCGCAAAAAGAAAAGGAGTACTTGTGGCACCTTAGAGACTAACCAATTTATTTGAGCATGAGCTTTCGTGAGCTACAGCTCACTTCATCAGATGCATACCGTGGAAACTGGGACAGTGGGGTGGGAGGAGGTATTGTTTCATATTCTCTGTGTATATATAAAGTCTGCTGCAGTTTCCACGGTATGCATCTGATGAAGTGAGCTGTAGCTCACGAAAGCTCATGCTCAAATAAATTGGTTAGTCTCTAAGGTGCCACAAGTACTCCTTTTCTTTTTGCAAAGATTACAAAGTAACTCACTAGAAAACTCCAGCCAAACAATAGCAGCAGAGAAGGTAGGAACCCATCCAATTCCCCACAATGAGCTGTGAACTTCAGAACTTAATGAGGAGTATTTAAATACTGACTTTACTAACGACAGATGATTTTTATTTTTTAAAACAAACAAGCAATATGCCAGTCTGGGAAAAATGTCCCTGCTTGCAGCTTTTTCAAAAAGTCCTGTATTCCTCAAGATGCAAGCACCACACACCTCACCTGACCATCAATGTTAACGTCAGTGAAATGTCCCCAGAGATCCACTAATCATTGCATAATCATGAAAGAGTACCCGGGCTGAAAGTAAGCCATTACGGGCCAGTACGGCATACTGGTACAAAGTGGCCGCCGGTTTAAAGCGCTGACATGGCAGTGCTTTAAAATTGTTGTGCCTTTTGCCTCCCCCTCCCCCAGCTGCCAACGGTGGGTGGGGGATGGGGGCAAAAGGATCAGCTGCCCTGGGGCCAGCGATTTAAAAGGGCCTGGGGCTCCGGCCGCCGCTGCCACTACCAGTGGCTGGAGCCCCGAACCCTTTAAATTGCCACTGGAGCCCTGGGCGGTGCAGGCCAGGCAGCACGCAGATGGGCTGGCTGGGGGCTGCTGACCCTCCCCCCCGGCCCCAGCCCTGCCCCTTCTGCCCAAGGCCCCGGACCAGTAAGTCTTCGGCGTTATTTTCACCCCTGAGAGTACCCCTTTCTGCTTATGTACTCAGGTTTCTAACTACCAGAGGAGTGAAGTTCTGGAATAGCCCTCAAAAGGGAGCGGTGGGGGCAAAAAAACTAACTGGCTTTAAGACCAAGCTTGATAAGTTTATGGAGGGGATGGTATGATGAAACTGCCTTCAATGGCAGGTAGCCAATCTGTGACTGCTAGATGGGACACTAGATGGGGAAGGCTCTGAGCTACTACAGAGAATTCTTTCCCAGGCTGGTGGATTTTGCCCATATGCTCAGGGTCTAACTCAGTGGGTTTCAATCTATGGTCTGCAGACTGCTGGGGGTCAGCACGCTATGTCTAAAGGGTCCACAAAAGGTGACTATGAAAATAAAGTTTCAGATCCCAGAAAAGGCATTCCATTTCTCTGATCAATGAAAAGTATTTGAATATCCCCCCACCTACAGGTCAAAATCAAAGAAGTGTTGTCATTACCATAGAAGCCCACTGTTTAGCACCCTTTCTAATGCTGCGCAAAATGCCATGCCAAGCAGGTGTAACATTTATCGTTGAATTCTGTCCAGACAGTTTTCAGTCTAAGACTTCTATAGTAGGGGTGCACAGACCAAAGCAGCTCTTGTTTTGGTGTCTCTCTACTGGAGAGCTGGGGTGAGCTCAGCTCACTACTCCAGGAACGTAGCTTTCTGCACGTGAAAGTTCTCTGGCCATTGCTGTTCATCCCAGACTGGCATCGTGATCAGGTTCCACCGCTCGCTGCTCATTTCGCAGGCCCAAAACCGCCGCTCCACTGTGTGCAGCTGGTCAGTGAATGCCTGCAGCATCTGGTGATTTTTATTCACTGTCCAGATCATCCATGCCTCAGTTTCCCCATGTTCAGTGCTGTAACCCTGGCTGCTGTGGTGTTGGTTGTAGCTCTGCACCTGTAGCTGTTGTCTCTAAAACAGATGAGACCTCCACTGACCCGTTCCGCATCCGTGCGTCTGACAGCAAGATGGTGGAGAGACTGAAAACAGTCACGAGGAAGAGCCGATTATGGAACAGAGGGAATTGTGGAAACTTGGCCACCAACTCCCACAATTCCCTAAGAGAAGTGCTGGTATCCCACAATACACTGCAAACATTACCTACAAGGCAGTGTGCTGCAAGGTGGCAATGGGGGGACTGGGATGCCTACCCATGCTGTCTCTAAGCGTATGTCTGCACAGCAACTAGACACCTGCAGCTGGCCAGTGCCAGCCGACTCAGGCTTGTGGGGCTCTCAGGCTAAGGGGCTGTTTCACTGCAGTGTAGACTTCCAGGTTCAGGCTGGAGCCAGGTCTCTAGGACCCTGCGAGGTGGAAGGGCCCCAGAGCTCGGGCTACAGCCTAAGCCTGGAAGTTGACACTGCAATGAAACAGCCCCGCAGCCCAAATGCTCCCGAGACTGAATCGGCTGGCACAGGCCAGCTGCAGGTGTCTAGCTGCTGTGTAGACACATCCTAACAGGACCTGGTGCATGGGCAAAGACAGCTAAATGTGAACTCACTCTCGCGACATACTGATATTGTTATGTGGGCAAGTGTTTCACCATAAAACTTTAGAGTATAGACGTGGCTTAAATGCCAAAGCCCATGTTAATGGTACATGGCATAGTTAATCACAAAATGTAGGCAATGCAACTTTTAAGGCTTGAATAGCAAAAACATTTGTATATTTTCTATTCCTGTTTTTCTGGTTCAATGTGTAGCTTTAATATTACTATTTCTGTTATAAAATATGTGTGATAAAACACAAGATGTGCAAAGCTTTGCACGGGCCAATGCAATGTTGCTGCTGGAAGATTTAACTCTTGCAATTCCTGACTTTTTGCATTAATGTCAATTGTTGCATATAATTATATAATAGCAATCCGTGCTTTGTATCCTGAAGACAGTGTGAAACCACTTTGCAGAATAGCAACATGAGAAATAGCAGGGTTTTGTAATTTGTAAGGTTCACAGGAGTCTTCAGGATACAAAGCACGGCAGGTGCACATACTTCCATATGGAAATTAAGAAACTCTCCCAGCCATTTATCGCTAATGAGGGAATTAAACCATCTTACTTTCCACGACACACCACAAAACCAAAGCTCAGGCTAGGGCACTTTTTGTTAGAGATCGCAGGAGAGATTTAGCAGTGAGATGGGTCAGGAATGAAAACCGTTCTCTTTATTCTAATATGCATAACCTAATCTCCATTCCAAGAAAGTGATTCACCACTGGCACAGGGCTCCCCTTTCCCGTCTGTGTCCCGGCATGGGCTGTTGGGGTCTGGCTACCCTGCAATAAAACCCCGGTGGCTGGCACACGTCAGCTGACTCAAACTCGGACTGCGGGGCTCCAAAACTGCAGCTTAGACATTTGGGCTCGGGCTGGAGCCCGGGCTCTGTGACCCTCCCTCCTCACTGGGTCTCAGAGCCCGGGCTCCGGCATGAGCTTGAACCTCTACCCTGCAGTTTTACCCGCCGGGGTCTGAGTCAGCGGAGACGGGCCAGCGGCGGCTGTGCAGCTGCGGGGCGGACCTACCCCGGGCAGGCAGAGCTGACCCGCCTTTCCAGCTGGAGCACGCTCTGGTCTGTGGAGCGGGAAACGCCGGGGGCGGGAGCAAGTCCCTGCCCACCACCACAGCGCTGCTCCGCTGCCCGGCCCGCCCGCGCGCGGTGCCGGCTCCGCGCCCCGCGCTTGGCTGAGCTCCCACCTCCGCCCCTTCCCGCGAGAGCCGGGCCGGGCTCCCAGCCCTGGGTGACAAAGCGGGCAGCGGCGAGGGTCCCCCTCTGTCCCCCGGGCAACCAATCGCCCCGGGGCCCGTCGCCCTCCTGCCCCGGGCTGGCTGGGCGCAGGGATGCGGCTTTTCCAGCAGCTCCGGAGGAGGGGGGGGAGCGGGAAGCGGCCCCAGGCAGCCCGCCTCGCCTCGCCTCGCCCCGGCCGGGCCGGTTGCAGGCTCCTCCCCGCGCTGTCACACATGCCTCAGGTGCTTCCTGCCCGCTCGCCCGCCTGGCTCGCGCGGGCAGGGCCGGCGATGCGCTCTGCCGGGGCCCGGCGCGAGCGGCGGCGGCGCCCGAGCTTCCGCGCCGGCTGAGGGGAGGCTGCGGCGGGCGGGCGGGTGCGGCACTGGCGGTGGAGGCGGCGGCGGCTTCCTGCTGCGGAGCGGCGAGGGCCGGGAGCTCCCGCTGCGGGGACTCGGCAGCCCGGCCGGGCCCGCCCCGGCTGGGGCGGGGACGCTGCTGCTGCTGCTGCTGGGGCGGCGGGTGGTTGCTTCCCGGCGGCAGGCGAACTCCGGCGGGCTCGCTGCGGACAGAGCCCCGTCCCCGCCCCGAGCCCGGTGATTGGCGTCCCGGCGGGCAAGGGAGGGGTGCGCCTGGATTGGGCGGCGGAGGGGGGCTTGGGACTGGTCTCGGGCAGTATGGCTCAGAGGTGGGGGAGCGGGGGCTGCCTGCCCCACTGAGGAGGGGCTGCCGCTGCTGGACCCCCCCGGGAGCTGCTGCGCTCAGCATCCCGCCGGCTCTCCATTAGTGCCCCCTCCGCCTCTCGCTGCCCAGCCGGCTTGCCATGGCCGGGGCCATGAAGTTCAACGGGTACATGAAGGTGCGGATCGGCGAGGCGGTGGGTCTGCAGCCCACCCGCTGGTCGCTGAGACACTCGCTCTTCAAGAAGGGCTACCAGCTGCTGGACCCCTACGTGGCGGTGAGCGTGGACCAGGTGCGGGTGGGGCAGACCAGCACCAAACAGAAGACCAACAAGCCCACCTACAACGAGGAGTTCTCTGCCCCCGTCACCGATGGCCGTCAGCTGGAGCTGGCCGTCTTCCATGACACCCCCATCGGCTACGATGACTTTGTGGCCAACTGCACCCTGCGCTTCCATGACCTCTTACACACCCTGGGCAGCGCTGACAGCTTCGAAGGCTGGGTGAGTAGCTATCCTTCCGTGGGGACGTGGGCTGCCCACGGAGTGTGTGCTCATATATACTGGCATGTACATTCACACACCTGTGGGCATGCACGCACTTGTACACCTTTATGTATGCACACATGTCTCTGCGCTCATACGCCTGCCTTCAGTCACACTGGTACGTGCATTCGGCATGCAAGGGCGACAAGATGCATCTGTGACGGCCACCATGTTGGACAACCTGCTGAAGATTGAACTGGGGACCTCCAGGGCTAAAAATATGAGCTCAAGAGCCCCAACAAGGGGCTGTAAAAACTCATATACTCTTTGAATATGTGAGTAATGCACACTCACTAGTGGGTTACACAGGCACACCTACAAACTCTGATACATATGTGTATGCTTGCTGTTAATTGCAAACATATGCACACCAGGAAGGATACATTTCCTTACAAATCTACATATGTACATACCCATACACCTGTGGATATGCACACACACTTTGGGCGAAATTCACCCCTGAATTTAAACCAGTTACAGGGAAGAACTTGGCAATGCATGATCATGTATAGTTCACATACATAACAGCATAAGCCAAACATCAGTATTTGCAGGTTGTTCCCCAACTTTCCAAGTAGGTGCAATTTGCATCCTTCCCCTCAGAGCTATAGTTCATGTTTCAACTCTAATGATGGAGTGGATGATATACAGAATCATAGAAATGTGGGGCTTCAAAGGACCTGAGCTGGTTATCGAGTGCATCCCTCTGTGCTGAGGCTGGATTAAATATACCTAGATCATCCCTGACAGGTGTTTGTGTACCTTGTTCTTGTTCTTCAGTGAAGGGGATTCAGTGACAGGGATTCAAAAACCTACCTCAAACCTGATCTAATGCTTAACTATGCTTAGAGTTAGCAAGTTTTTCCTATTGTCCAACCTAAATTTCCCTTACTGCAGGTGAAGCCGATCGCTTCTTGCCCTACCCTTAGTGAACTTCGAGAACAATTAATTACCGTCTTCTTTGTAAGAGCCACTAACATATTGGAAGACTCTTATCAGGTCCCCCATCCCTCACACAGTCTTTTCATCTCTAAACTGAACATGCCCAATGCTTTCAGCTTTTCCTCAGAGGTCAGGATTTCTAAACCTTTTGTCACTTTTGCTGCTCTTCTCTGGAATCTTTCCAATTTTTTCACATCTTTCTTAAAATGTGGTGCATAATAATTATCTCTGTGTCAGTTAAAGGCTCTCCTGCTTTCATTTCCAGAGCTAGAATATGGGAAAGGGAAGTGTATCCATCTAGCAATAGTTTACAGTTTGACAAGAAATGCTGAATGAAAATACACACCGTTCCAGGTAGACGGATTGCAGAGGAGTTTGGATATTCCCAGAAGGAATTAACAGTTAATAACTTGTTGAGACCAGACAGTTTAGTCAGTGTAGTCAAAAAACCACCAGTCAAATCACACTGATGATGCATGCGGGGGAGAGAAGTGCCACTGGAGAGAACAGATAGATATCGAAATCTTAGCTGCCAGTGCTTTCCTTTCTCAGTTCAGCACAGTGTCTGAGAAATAGTATTATGTATCGAAGTACCAGAGAGACGATTGTGTCTATAGAAAAATACAACATTGGTGCTACACATCCTGCTTATTTATTGTCACCCCCAACAGTGTGCTAAGTGCTCTCCAGCCAAGCATGAGTTCCTGCCCTGTAGAATGAGCGGTTGAAATACATAATGGATTGATGAAAGGATAAGGCAAGGGAGAAACCTCATGCAGTGTGACAGCATTGTGGTTCACACCCATCTTGTCAATCTTTTTGTTAATATTGGTTATTAGTTTTGTCGCCTATTTCAATAACACTTGTTTTAGGTGGAAGGGCTCAAGTCCTCCTTATACAATGTATGGGCTACACACCCATAGATATCCGTTCAAAATCTGTACGTGGTGCTGCAGCTACACCATTGTAGTGTAGATACTGGCCACAGTGATGGAAGGGATTTTAGCTGGGTTGACAGAAGAATTCTTCCATCGACCTAATGGTGTCTACACCAGGGCATAGGTCATTTTAAGTAAATCTCTCATGCATGTGAATTTGCCACACTCTTGATTTTGATAGGGCTTGTCTTCACTACCCAGGTAAGTCGACTCCAGCTATGTGAATAGTGTAGCTGGAGTCACCATAGCTTAGGTCAACTTACCCGGGTATCGTCACTGCACTGTGTTGATGGGAGACCCTCTCCGGTTGATTTACCTTACTCTTCTCAGAGAGATGGAGTACCGGGGTCGACTGGAGAGCGCTCTGCCGTCGATTTAGCGCAGGGGTGGGCAAACTTTTTGGTCTGAGGGCCACATCTGGGTATAGAAATTGTATGGCGGGCCATGAATGCTCATGAAATTGGGAGTTGGGGTGCGGGAGGTGGTGAAGGCTCTGGCTGGGGGTGTGGGCTCTGGGATGAGGCAAGAAATGAGGAGTTCAGAATGTGGGAGGGGGCTCCAGACTGGGGCAGGGAGTTGGGGTGCAGGAGGGGTGAGGGCTCTGGCTGGGGGTGTGGACTCTGGGGTGGGACTGGGGATGAGGGGTTTGGCGTGCAGAAGGGTGCTCTGGGCTGGGACCGAGGGGTTCGGAGGGCAGGAGGGGGTTTAGGACTGGGGCATGGAGGGTTGAGGGCTCTGGCTGGGGGTGCAGGCTCTGGGGTGGGGATAGGGATGAGGGGTTTGGGGTGGGCCTGAGGGGTTTGGAGGGCTGGGGCAGGGGGTTGGGGCGTGGAGGGAAAGACTCAGGGGTGCAGGCTCCAGGTGGCGCTTTCCTCAAGCAGCTCCCGGAAGCAGCAGTGTGTTCCCTCTCTGGCTCCTATGTGGAGGCATGGTCAGGCTGCTCTGCGTGCTGCCCCATCCATAGGCGCTGCCCCTGCAGCTCCCATTGGCCATGGTTCCTGGCCAATGGGAGCTGTGGGGGAAGGCGCTTGGGGCAGCAGCAGCATGCAGAGCCCCCTGGCCTCCCCTATACATAGGAGCTGGAGGGAGAATGTGCCGCTACTTCCAGGAGTCGTGCAGAAAGCCCCCGACTCCGCTCCCCAGCTGGAGCGTGGAGCAGGGCAAACCCTAGCCCCGCTCCTGGAGGGAGCTTGAGGGCTGGATTAAGAGGTCCGATGGGCCGGACATGGCTCGTGGGCCATAGTTTGCCCACCCCTGATTTAGCGGCTCATCACTAGACCCACTAAATCAACCCCTGCTGCATTGATTGTGGCAGTGTCGATCTCCGCATAGTGAAGACAAGCTCATAGCTAGGTTGACACTACTAAAACTTAGTCTGACCTTTCTACATTGCTGAAGGCTGTGAAAAATTTCGTGCCCTGTGCAACATTGTTAGGTCAGCCTAACCTCCACTGCAGATGTGGCTAGGTCAGTGGAAGAATTCTTACATAACATATCTTCAGATATGTTTTAAAGAGGATGGCGATTAGTTGTTCTCCATATTCATTGGCGGTAGGACAAGAAATAATAGGCTATCTGCAGCAAGAGAGATTTAGCTTAGATACTAGGAAAATCTTTCTTGCTATAAGGATAGGTGTGTACTGGAATAGGTTACCAAGGGAAGTTGTGGAATCCCCATCATTGGAGGTTTTTCAGAGCAGGTTAGACAAACAGCTGTCAGGGATGGTCCAAGTTTACTTTGTCCTGTCTCAAAATGGGGGGAATGGACTAGATGAACTCTTGGGATCCCTTCTACACTACCTGTGATTTGTATGATTCTGTGTATGAAAGGTTCTTTATACCAGTATAGCTTATTCCCCTTCCTGTGCGAAAATAAGGTATACTGGTATAAACACTTTTATAACAGTAGAATTGGTCCTCACCAAAAAGGGGGTTGTACCGCTTTTAACTACACCAGTATAATAAAAGCTGTACAACTTTTGTGGGTAGACAAGGCCTAAGAACTAATGCACTCTTTTTGGTCTGGTGTTCTAAAGTAATATTGTAGCCCTTGATGCATCTAACTAATCGATGGCTAGTATTTCGTGAAAGCCATAGGAAAGCATAGTGCACAGTGCAAATCTTGCAGTCTATAATTAGACAATTTAGTATGCTTGAGCATCCAGATGTGGAAAGAGAGGCATCTTTAGCAAGTAGTTTGTCACTACTACTGGTCCTTGTCAGTTAATGTCATATATGTGATGATTTGCTTAATCCATAGCAATTTAGGCCCCAAACTCTTACATATATGAATAACTTTATGCATGTGAGTTGTCTGGGTATCAGAATGGAATACTGTGCTTGGGGTGCATGTTGAAATTCATATTCGGAGGATCTTCTTAGAATTACCTATGTCTCATAACTCTTAAGTTGAGTTGATTTGCCAAAGCCTCTCTGCTAAACAAATGTTATTACAAACTGAATATTTCTGTAATTGCATATTCATTATTAAGCAGGTGTGACATTCATCTTGCAAATTTGTAAGAGCATGTTAATAGGGAAGATTTGTAGTGAGGCTCTGCTCTCTTTCTCTTTTTTGTTTACCTTTTTAGGTATGTTTAATGTCTCCTGTTAAGTGCCAACATGCCTTGCGTATGAATAAAGTGGGCATAGCTATCTCCACTATCTTGTACCTTTGCGTGCTGAGTGGGTGTAAAACTCTGCCAAACTTGAATGGCAGCACCTTACACTTGCGTTACACAGGTGCATCCAGCTACAGCAGGTGCAAGGCAGTGGATAATCAAGCTCATCATTATACTCTGGATGCTGTTATGTTGTGATTTGCATTGTGATTACAACCCTGGTGCTACAAGAATTATTTTAAAGCATTTATTGAGCTTTGCAGACATTTGTTTAAGGATTTTGCTAGTAGCTCAACTACGGTGCCTCGTTTACTTGTGCCTCTGCTGACAATCGGATGACAGTGAGGCTGTGTCTACACAAGAGATCTTACGGCGGCATAGCTGTACCGATGCAGCTGCGCTGCTCTGAGATCTCTCGTGTAGCTGCTGTATGGCAACAGCGAGACCACTCCTGTTG